TATATTGACTTCATACATGATTCATGAATTTCAGAATTCCCTGTACTGTTTCTTAGTTGCTCTTTTCTTAACCATCTGGAGTTACACTTTAAATTAGGCTCTTTCCTCATTTGATATAAATATATATCTCTAATTAAACACAGTATTTACTAAATTAGTTCAGACTTGTGCTGGTTAAATTGCATGATTTGCTAAAACTTGTGAATGAACTAAATGTTCTGTTGGCTGAATTATATGGTTATCTCAACCTCCTAAATGAACTAAATTTTCTCTGAAAATTTCCAGTATGGAATTGTTTGCCTAAGATGAGTTCTTATACTTTCTTCTTAAGAATATTGATTTTAGGGGCACCTGGGTGGGTTAGTCATTAAGCATCTGCCTTCAGCTCAGGTCATGATCCCAGGGTCCTGGGATCGAGCCCCGCATCGGGCTCCCTGCTCTGCGGGAAGCCTGCTTCTCCCTCTCCCACTCCCCCTGCTTGTGTTCCCTCTCTTGCTGTGTCTCTCTCTGATAAATAAATAAAAATCTTTAAAAAAAAAATATTGATTTTAGAAAATGGTGTTTTCTAGATCATAAATTTTCTCTGAGAATAAAACTTGAATTTCTTATTTTGATTAATCTTTCTTTCTGTATAATATTTATAACCTTACTTTTAATATGTTGCATTAAGAATACTTACGTTTTCTATTACAAACATTCAAAATACATCCCCCAACATTTGAAAATTTTATTAAACAGGTTTTTCTGGGGCATCTGGCTTGTGCAGTCAGAGCATACCACTCTTGATCTCAGAGTTATGAGTTCAAGCCCCACATTGGGTACAGAGCTCACTTAATTAAAAAAAAAAAAAAGATTATTTAAACCCTTTTAAAACAAAACAAAAACAAAAAAAGAAAGTTTTTCTAAGCTTTTACCCAAATTTCTTTGATTTGTTTTTTTTAAAGATTTATTTATTTAGAGAGAGAGGGAGAGAGAGAGCACACGTGCAAGTGGGGAGGGGTAGAGGGAGAGAATCTTCAAGCAGATGACTACCCGCTGAGCATGGAGCTCACTGTGGGGCTCAGTCTCATGACCCATGAGATCGTGACCTAACCCAAAACCAAGAGTCGGTCACTCAAATGACTGAGCCACCCAGGTGCCCCTCTTTGCTTTATTTTGAATAACTTTTAATTTTTTTCCCATTGATTTCCAGACTGCCATAGAGAGTATCTAGTACATGGCTATTTCTTTAATTCATTTACCAAGTTATTTTACTAATCATTGTAAAAAGTGGTAAGGATATAGTAAGAAATAAGTCTCTAATCCAAAGGAATTTATAATCCAATGTGAGATTTGGGTAAAAAAAAATAAGCAATTACAGCATAGTATTGCAGAAACTCCAAGGGATTTTATATTCTACCCTACTTGCAAGCTAACAAATTAGCCTGCCAATTTCATACATACTAACAGAAGACACAAGACTCCTGGGTCAGAGAGACAGGACTTTAGTGTTTAGAACAAGCAGTAGCTAGAGTATTAGCATTTTCTTAGACTGATTCCCCAAACTCTACAGGGTGTTGTGAAGAGGACCAGGTGAAACCTGCACATGCAGTGTGTTGCAGGAGAGAATTGCAGAGCTTAGGGAACTTGAATCTTTTATATTGGACAATAAGTATGTTTGCCTGCTGTTCTGGAGGGAGATACCATCTTAATCTTCTAAGACTGTAAGCATACTCACACTTTGCTCTAGGAGACACCATATTTTTCAAGGCTATTCACTATACTAACATCTTTGAAAAGACTATCCAGAACAAAGGCATTCAGTGCCTCTGCCCAGAAGATGTGCAAAAATGCAAAAGGCCAGTAGAGAATTATCTCCCAAATTGCTTTGAAGAAGCAAGTGGCAAAGAGATTCTGTATTAGTTGTTTATTGCTGCATAACAAATTACCATGACCATAGCAGCTTAAAACTGCACATATTTATTATCTCACAGTTCCTGTGAGTCAGGGGTCTGTGAACATTCTAGCTTGATTCTCTGCTTTGGGTCTCCCAAAGTCCAGGTAAATGTTATCCAGGGCTGAATACTCATGTGGAGTACTCAACTAGGGAAGGATCTGCCTCCCCACTCATGGGGTTGGCAACGTTTAGTTTCTTGCAACTGTAGGATTTGTGGCAGTTTATTTCTTCAAAGCTGGCAAGGTATAGAGAGATTGGAGAGAGGGATACAGAGAAGGAATAAATAGGGAGGAAATCACCAGTGATAGAAGAGGGTAAGTGAGTACCTATATACTTGTAGCAAGACAGCTCCTCCAAAGCAGAATTTCTCAACCTAGACATGCTTGACATTCGGGCTGAATAATTCTTTTCCTGGCCTCTTTATTCTATCTTTTCCCACTTTGGGTGGCTTTCTTACTCAGTATTGTGGAGTAGATGCTGTTGCTGTGCCACCCGTATCCCTTGCCATTCACTTTTGTACAGGGAAGTCTTCTTACTGCAAGCAGCTGAAACTTTCTGCCTGAGGACTTTATCTAGCCACATGAGAAACTGGAGGGTAATCAGGAAGTGACTGCCCAGCAATAGGTCTTAACCAGGTTAATAAATACACCATTTTCCTTACCTCTGGAGACAGCTTCTGAAGCTTACTCTACACTATCTCTGAGAGGTCTCCAGCAGGAATGAGCCACGGTACCAAGCAGCGATACCCTGATCATCAGTGTATCCTGTACTGCTGCCCTTTCCTATTCTCTTGCCTTTTCAAATAAATTATTTGAATTACTTTTCAAATAAATTATTTGTCTCAAATTCTAATTTCTCAGAGTTGGCTTTTGGAGAACCTATCCTAGGTCAGTGGTGCCTTTTGATGAATAGAAGTTATTTTTTTTTATGATTTGGTATTTGTATGTATTGCAAAATGATCACCACAATAAGTCTAGTTAACATCCATCCTCATACACACTTAATTTTTTTTCCCTAGTGATAAAGACTTTTAAGATCTATTCTCAACAACTTTCAAATATGCAATACAGTATTATTAACTGTAGTCACCATGCTGTCCATTACATCCTCATGACTTACTTATTTTATAACTGGAGGTTTGACCTCCTTCTTCCATTTTACCCACCCCCTAACCCCTGCTTCTGGCAGCTCCCATTCTGTTCTCTGTATCTATGAGCTTGATTTTTTGTTTTTAGATTCTATATATAAGTGAGATCCTCATTGTCTTTCTCTGCCTTATTAGAAGTTCTTAATTTAAATGTAGCTTAGTTTATGTTTTTTCCTTTTTAGTGGTTGTTGTATCCTGCATAGGAAGTCTTTACCTACCCCAATGTCTTGATTGTACCCATGGGATTTTAATTTATGGAGATGACTAAGTGATGACATGGAGGGGCTAAGGCCACTAAAAGATTTGTATTACTTAAAATTTCTGAGAGGAGAAATCATGCCACATAGGGTCACATGGTCAGGAGCCAGAAGGAGTGAGGAGAAAACATCACAGAAGCCTTCGTTACTACTGTAGTGGGTAGTTATTAGGTGGGAATGTCCCCTACTGAGTAGGAAGTAAAACACAGATATTAAGAGTTTGTGGTTGCAGGGTTTGTAATATGATAATCTGTTCACCCACAAAAGCCAGACCATGGGAGAAATATAAACAACTTTGGCCATTAGTTTGGCCCTATGATTTATGTATGTCAGATCATTAATTATCAAATTTATAAAAGTTGGTTAGAACAGGGTAGTGAAGATACTTTTCTTTGTAATATTCCAGATGTTTTATTGTTTTACTTATTGTATTTAGACCTATAATCCATATGGAATTGATATTTGTATGTGGTGTGAGGAAGGGGCCACATTTCCTTTTTTTCATACAGATCCATAATCTTATTGGCACCATTTATAGAAAAAAACTGTCCTTTCCCCATTACTCTATAGTCAACCTTTGTCATAAATGAAATGTTTGGGTTAAATCATATGTTTGAGTCTGTTTCTAGACTCCTTATTCTGTTCCATTGGTTGCTCTGTCTGTCCTTGTGCTGATGCTACAGTTTCTTACTTACTCTAACTTTATTATAGGCTGATATTCATTAGAGTTAGTCCTTCTACCTTCTTCTTCTTCAAGGGTAAATTGATATTTTTGTAAGAAATTCTCCTTTGGTAATAGGGATGATAGTTGTCTTCTGTTTGGTGAATATTATTTATTTTTAATCTTCCAGTTTCAGAGATCCATTGTGAGAGCCTGCAGTAACTTGTTTTGGGGCCAACAACATTTATTTTAGTATTTCTCTAAATTGGCTCATGTAGTCACCAAACAGTCCAGGTATTGTGCAATAGGGATATAGGTCAGGCGACTTCCAAAAGAAAGAGCACTATATCAAGTACATTATATCATAATATAATATCCTAAAACTCTTTGTCAATATTGGTAAATTTGTCCATTCACAAAACATTCTTCATTTCTCAAGGGTTAATGCCACTGTTTGGTTCTAGAGATAGTATAATTTAATTTTAAAAAGTTTATTTATAAAATTTTGAATGTTGATGTTGCTTTATTTTGAAAAACTATAATTAATTTGGACAACTGGAATTATGAAAATTGTTTTACTCGCACAAACAGGAACCAATGAGGGAAATTTGTGTTGTTCTGTAACTATCTGCGAGGTTCGGATTCAGCTTTTCAAATATCATCTTTCACAAATACCCTTTGTGCCTCTTTCAGTAAATGTTAATCTGTTAGTACTGCTCAGGATTGAACTGTATCTCCTATCACTACTGTAGGTTAAGCTGGACCCGAGCGGCTGAAGTAGAAATGGAAGTTGGACACAATGAGGTGAACTCTTCTCATTGTCAGACTTTCAGGAAACTAGTGCACTAGGCTTATTATGACGGGTCAGTAGTTGTAACTATTGTCTATGCTGGGTAGGTTGATAAATAAAAGTGTATGGATATGGTAAGTGTAGAATTTCAAGAGAAAATCCGTTCTTGTATATTTATGGTGTCCACATTTGGGTCTTTATTTTAACAGGTTAATGCAGCTGAATCAAAGATAACAAATTTAATATACCTAAAGCATACCTTGGAACTTGTGGATCCTTTAAAGGTAATTTATATGGGTGTATATTGTACAAAACATGTCTAGCATCAATTTTTTAAAAACTTTTTGTTTCAAAAAAGTATCAAATTTAGATAAAGTTACAGGAATAGTATAATGAATTCCCAAATTCTCTGGATACACACAGCACACACTACGTGTTATATCCTTATTATTACTCTTACTAAACTATTTGAAAATTGCAATACCTAAATACTAATGTGTGTATATCCTAAGAACAAAGCTGTTCTCTTATATAACCACAATATAATTTAAAAATTGAGGATATTTAACATTGATCCAATACTATTATGTGTAGTCCATACTCAAAATTTTCTGATTGTTTTACTAGTATCTTTTATGGACTTTTTTTTTCTTGATACAGGGTCCAGTCCAGGATTATGCATTGTATTTAATGTCATTTTTTTTTAAAGATTTTATTTATTTGAGAGAGAGAGTGAGCGAGAGAGAGCATGAGCAGAGGGAGGGGCAGAGGGAGAGGGAGAAGCAGACTCCCTGCTGAGCCAGAAGCCCAATCCCAGGACCCTGGGATCATGATCTGAGCAGAAGGCAGATGCTTAACTGAGCCACCCTAGTGTCCCTAATGTCATGCTTCTTTATACCACTTTTCAACTTAAGGTTTCTCATCCTTTCTTTGTCTTTCATGATATTAACATTGTGAAGAGGGTCTGTTGTTTTATAGAATATTCCTCAGCTTGTGTGGTTATTTTCTCATGATTAAATTCCGCTTATTTAGCAGCAATACTCTATGAGCAATGTTGTATCTTTTTCAGTACATCACATCAGGAGGCACATTATGTCATTCCCCATTCTGGTGATATTAACTTTGATCAATTTCTTCACTGTAAAGTTATTAAGCAATCTGTGGAGAGATACTTTGAGACTATGTAAATATTCTGTTCCTCATTAAACTTTCACTCAGTGATTTAAATACTCATTGATGACTCTTACCTGAAATATCTCTGATGTGATTTTCTAATATATTTTTAAATACTTTACTGTGCAAAACTTTTTAAAAAACATTTATTTATTTAAGTAATCTCTACTCCCAACATGGGGCTCCAGCTCACAACCCTGAGATCAAGAGTCCCATGCTCTGCTGACTGAGCCAGCCAGGAACCCCTGTGCAAAACATTTTTTAAAACTTAAGGTGACAGCTTTTTCCGTGCTGATAGTGCTCTCATAAACAGGGTGAACGTTCCTAAAACCCGCGTTTTTCATTACTTTTTTTTTAAAGATTTTTATTTATTTATTTGACAGGGCAGGCGCCCCTACTTTTTCTTTTAAAAAAGGAGTTCCTTGTCACCTTAAGTTTGAAAGAGGTAAAGGATCTGTACTCTAAAAACTACAGAATACCTATGAAGGAAATTGAGGAAGACACAAAGAAATGGAAGAACATTCCATGCTCATGGATTGGAAGAATAAATATTTTATAATGACTATACTACCCAGAGCAATCTACACATTTAATGCCATCCCTATCAAAATACTATCAACATTTTTCACAGAGCTAGAACAAACAATCCTAAAATTTGTATGGAAACACAAAGACCCCAAATAGCCAAAGGAATGTTGAAAAAGAAAACCAAAGCTGGTAGCACTACATTTCTAGACTTCAAGCTGTATTCTCTTAGATCTAAGAGAATGCTGGCTATTAAGAGATGCAAGCATTTTGAACTGGGAGGAGATAAGAAGAGAAAGGTCAAGTGATCCAGTTCTAAGCTTCATATTTTGTTAATATTATGAAGACAATAAAATCTTGAGGTTATGTTCACTTCAAAAAAAAAAACAAGGTGACAAGGAAGAACTCCTTTTTTAAAAGAAAAAGTAGGGGCGCCTGGGTGGCTCAGATGGTTAAGCATCTACCTTCGGCTCAGGTCATGACCTCAGGGTCCTGGGATCAAGTCCCACATTGGGCTCCCTGCTTGGCCAGGAACCTATTTCTCCCTCTCCCTCTACTGTTCCCCCTGCTTGTGCTCTCTTGCCCTCTCTGTCAAATAAATAAATAAAAAACCTTAAAAAAAAAGTAATGAAAAATCTGGAAGAATTTTGTTATAGAGTTCATTCTAATAAATATATATAATGAAAGCAATTTGGCAAAAGATGTAAAAAATGTCATCTTCTTAGAATGAAAAAGGTATAATAAATCATCCCCCAAAATCGATAGATTTGATAAGACACAAATTTCAAACTTTGATATGTCAGAGGCAAAGTAAAGGCCAAAGAAAATTGGGAAAATTTATAGCATTTGACAGATTAAATATTAATTTCTGTCATAAAACTCATGTAATTTCATAAGACACTATTGGAATACCAGTAGAAATATGGAAAATGCCCCCAAAATGGAAATCAAAGAGGTTAATAAATAATACCAAAAATATTCAGCCTTACTATTAGTCAAAGAAATACAAATTAAAGTCATTTTTTTATATATAAAAGAAGCAAAGTTTTTTTGTTTTTATTTTTTTTCCCTTAATGGACACAACTTACTGCTAATGAGAGAACAGTGAGACAGACCTCAGAGGCCGCTGGTAGGAGTACAAATTGCACATACTTCACAGGGAAGTTTTACAACATCTATCTTTTGACGGTGTTATGTTACTAGAAATCTGTCCAAAAGAAGTCTTAAGAAATACTACCAAGATTTATGCCCAGTTATGTCATTGCAGCGTTATTTATATTAGTGAGAAATTCTAAGTAGTATAGACCTATAATAAGGGGAAGGACTATTTGTTTTCTAGAGGGTAAAATATTATGACATATTAAAAATTTATACTATTAAAAGTTTCTAATGCTTGTGATGTAGTATTAAGTAGGGGAGAAAAGGAATATGCGATGATAAAAAAATTTTTTTGATTTGAGGAAGTGACAGGAAATATACCGTAATATTTAGATAATTTATTTGGAAGGGTGGTAGAATTATAAGCAATTTAATTGTTTTTCTTTATGCTTTTATGAATTTATAGTTTTATTAGTATTTAAGTATTTTCTATTCATAAGAAAAAAATATTATTGCCATTGCCTCATAGCAAACTAAAATAGCACGTAAAAGACAGGTTAACCGTATATATGAAAAACCCACAGTGAATGAATATCATTCTCAACGGGGAAAAACTGAAAGCTTTTCCCCTAAGGTCAGCAACATGACAGGGATATCCACTCTCATTACTGTTGTTCAACATGGTACTGGAAGTCCTAGCCTCAGCTAAGACAACAAAGAGAAGTAAAAGGCATCCAAATTGTCAAAGAAGAAGTCAAACTTTTACTCTTTGCAGATGACATGATACTCTATGTTGAAAACCCAGAAGACTCCACCCAAAAATTACTAGGACTCATATAGGAATTCAGCAAAGTCACAGAATATAAAATCAATGCACAGAAGTTAGTTGCATTTCTATACACTAACAATGAAACAGAAGAAAGAGAAATCAAGGAACTGACCCCATTTACAACTGCACCTAAAACCGTAAGATACCTAGGAATAAACCTAACCAAAGATCTGTACTCTGAAAACTAAAGAACATTTATGAAAGAAACTGAAGAAGACACAAAGAAATGGAAAAACATTCCCTGGCTCATGGATTGGAAAAACAAATATTGTTAAAATATCTGTGCTACCCAAAGTAATCTATACATTCAGTACAATCCCTATCAAAATACTATCAAACATTTTTCATAGAGCTGGAACAAATAATCCTAAAATTTGTATGGAACCAAAAAGGCCCCAAATAGCCAAAGGAATGTTGAAAAAGAAAACCAAAGCTGGTAGCACTACATTTCTAGACTTCAAGCTGTATTACAAAGCTTGATCACATAGTGATCAAGACAGTGTGGAACTGGCACAAAAACAGACACATAGATCAATGGAACAGAATGGAAAACCTAGAAATGGGCCCCTCTACTCTATGGTCAACTAATCTTCGACAAAGCAGGAAAGAATGTCCAATGGAAAAAAGACAGTCTCTTCAACAAATGGTGTTGGGAAAATTAGACAGCCACATGCAAAAGAATGAAACTGGGCCATTTTCATACACCATACACAAAAATAAACTCAAAATGGATGAAACACCTACGTGTGAGACAGGAATCCATCAGAATCCTAGAGGAGAACACAGGCAGCAGTCTCTTTGACCTCGGCTGCAGCAGCTTCTTGCTAGACACGTCTCCAAAGGCAAGGAAAACAAAGGCAAAAATGAACTATTAGGACTTCATCAAGGTAAAAAGCTTTTGCACAGCAAAGGAAACAGTCAACAAAACCAAAAGACAGCCTTCAAAATGGGAGAAGATATTTGCAAATGACATATCAGATAAAGGGCTTGTATCCAAGATCTATAAAGAACTTGTCAAATTCAACACCCAAAACCCAAATAATCCAGTCAAGAAATGGGCAGAAGACATGAACAGACATCTCCAAAGAAGACATACAAATGGTCAATAGACACATGAAAAAATGTTCCACATCACTTGGCATCAGGGAAATACAAATCAAAACCTCAATAAGATACCACCTCACACCAGTCAGAATGGCTAAAATTAACAAGCCAAGAGACTATAGATGTTGGCGAGAATGCAGAGAAAGGGGAATTCTCTTACACTGTTGGTGGGAATGCAAGCTGGTACAGCCACTCTGGAAAACAATATGGAGGTTCCTCAAGATGTTAAAAATAGAGCTACCCTATGACCCAGCAATTGTATCACTAGGTATTTTTCCAAAGGATACAAACTTAGTGATTCAAAGGGACCCATGCACCTGATGTTTATAGCAGCAATGTTCACAATAGCCAAACTATGGAAAGAGCTCAGATGTCCATTGACAGATAAATGGATAAAGAAGAGGTGGTGTGTACACACACACACACACACACACACACACACACACACAGGAATATTACTCAGCCATCAAAAAGAATGAAATCTTGCCATTTGCAACCATGTGGGTGGAATTAGAGGGTATTACACTAAGTGAAGTAAGTCAGTCAGAGAAGGACAAATATCATATAATTTCACTCATATCTGGAATTTACGAAACAAAACAGATGAACGTAGAGGAAGGGAAGGAAAAATAGAATAAGATGAAAAAGGAGAGTGAAGCAAACCATAAGAGACTCTTAACTATAGGAAACAAACCAAGGGTTACTGGAGGGGAGGTGTGTGGGGGGAAGGAATAATTGGATGATAGGCATTAAGGAGGGCACTTGATGTAATGAGCACTGGGTGTTATATGCTACTGATGAATCACTAAACTCTGCCTCTGAAACTAATAATACACTGTATATTAATTAATTGATTTTAAATAAATGAAAAAAGTTTAAGTTAAAAAAAGTTAGGTAAACTGTGTTTTCCTCTTGTTTCTATTTATTGAAATAGTGACCACTCATAGTTTCCATTAAGCAAAATTAAACCTCTATTTTTGCATATAAGAATGGAGAAATTGCTCTATTTATAAATATGCAAAGCACTTTCTTAGTTTAATGCATATTTAAAACCCAAATTTTGGAATTATATGTAGAGTACTCTAAATGTACAATGATAGCTATTTAAGTATCTACCTCTAATAAGTAGTTGAATGCTAACAATTATTTGAGAGACAAGAAAAATTAAAGTCATAATAGTAAAGCAGTGGATGTCCTTTATTAGCCAGGTGCTCTTTATCTGGAAAATGAGAAAGGTACCATCTGTCCTCACCTGTATACCTAAAATATCTTTTATGAGTATACAAATGAGAAGATGAAGCAAGAAAACCCTTGGTAAACTGTAAAGTATTAAACAAATGTAAAATGCTATATTTGAATAGTGTTATAATTTATTATTTTTAACTAACTTTATTTTATTTTTTAACAGATTGCTTTGAGGAACTGTAGCACACCTTTATTAAGAGCTTACTGTGGTTCATTGGAAGATAAGAGGTCTTTGTCACTCAACTGTGAATAAAATAACCCTGCTAATTATTCCTTTCTTCCTGATCATAAATGATTTTAAGTACTCTTAACAGTAATCAATAGAACAATTACTTGAACTCTGGTTAACAACGTTTAAACTATTCATCAAAGTCCTAATTATACATTACATCTTATAAATACCCATAAATAGGGTAACAGCACATTGAGTTTTTGTGTTAATAGGCAATTAGAATAGTATTAAAAATTGAAATCATACACAATTTTAATATTTCTTTTTTTAGCCATTCCCTATGGAAAGACTTGCAAATATAAAAGTACATATTTCTCTTTTGTGAATCATAAAGGGCCTAAAGTAACCAAAAAATAGTAGGTATAAATATTGAATAAGAGATCTAAATACAGTTTAATTTTAATACTGTTTTTAGCAATGGCACCTTGATTTTTAACCAAAAAGACTTGTGATGCTTAAGAACTGTTAAGTTTATTGATTCAGGATTCACATCTTTTGTGAGCCACAAATTGAGGTTAATAATAAAACAGAATTACAAATAAAATACAGAACAGAATAAAACAGAAGGTTATGAAAATAGGTGTTACCAGACTGTGACTCAGATTACAAATTAAAATAATTGTTGACTTATTGCCTATAATGTTCTTTTTTAGGTTTGGAATCATACTTGAAAAGATTAAAACCATAATTAATGATGATGCAAGATACATGAAAGGATGCCTGAACATGAGGACTCAGAAGTGCTATGCAGTGAGATCCAACATAAATGAATTTCTTGACATAGCTAGAAGAACATATACAGAGATTGTAGATGACATAGCGGGTAATTTAATTACTTCAGTGTATTTTTCTGTTTTTTGTTTTAAATTAAAACTTTTTATTTGTTTATTTATTAAAAGATTTTATTTATTTATTTGACAGAGAGAGACACAGTGAGAGAGGGAACACAAACAGGGGGAGAGGGAGAGGAGAAGCAGGCTTCCCACTGAGCAGGGAGCCCGATGTGGGGCTTGATCCCAGGACCCTGGGATCATGACCTGAGCCGAAGGCAGACGCTTAATGACTGAGCCACCCAGGTGCCCCCAAATTAAACCTTTTTAGAACATGTGCTTTTCTGCTGGTGATAACTAGCCATACATATTTTTAATTAAATTTTTGTTACCAAAAGAGATAAGGTTAACACATACTGTCATTTAAAATAGATTAAATATCAAAAACTAATGATGTAATAATGTATGGTAATTAACATAATAAAAATATATTAAAATATGATTTTAAAAATAAGTATCTCTAAATGTTATAATGTGTCTATTTTTTTCTCCCAACTTAAATATAGAGTTTCTTCAAACTTAGAGTTACCTGAAGATCCGGAGATGTTTGTTTACCTTTATATAATATTGTATATAAATTAGATGAAAAATGCAGGTATCAGTACTAAGTGATTTCAGAAGAAGAAATATGTTTGTCTAGAGGAGGTAGCATTTGAGCAAGTACAGTAATTGATTTAACAAATTTATGGAGTTTCTTGTAAATATAGACACTGTTTTGGGTAATATATATATGTGAACAAGACAAAGTCCCTGTCCTCATGGAGCTTATGTTATATAGTAGGGAAGACAGACAAAAAAGAAATGCGTGTGTGTGTGTTTATAGGTATAGAGAGGTAGATAGATGCATATATCGATCACATAGATCATATAATATCACATGGATATAAGATATATGATGAAAAATATAGCAGGTTATAGGGGTCAGAGAGTGACTGGGTGTGGAAGCATAGAGGATGGGAATGTTTTTAGTAGATAGAATAGCCTAGAAAGGAATTCCACATACTGGCAGTGGTACAAACCGAAGCACAAAGGCTAAGGAAACCTCAGTGGGTGAGGAAGGAAATTGGTTAGGATAGAATAGGGCATTCCCTGACAGAACTTGTAAGAGGTAAGATTGGAAATGTAGACTAGGGACCAGAATTTAGTCTTTGAAGGCTGGGAGTTTGGATTTTTTTTCCCTAAGAGAATGCAGAGGCACTGAGATATTTTTCTGTGTGGAGTGAAATTGATCAAGAACATTGGTTGAATGAATTTGAGTAGAGCAATGGAGACAAGGAAACCATTTTAAACTATTACAAGTTAAAGCATTTGAATGATAGCAATGTATATGAGAAGAGAGAAAGCAAAGGTTGAAGGAAGAAATGATGAGTTAATAATAGAGTAGTTATGGCCATGGTAAAGGGAAACGTAGCTATTGGTGCTAATTGAAATTTCTAGCCTGAGAGTGGTGGTATCACTGAGAAGCAGGAAAATTGTTGGAGGAACTATTTTGAGGAATAAAGATGTTAATTTTCACAAGTAATGTTCAAAGCATTAATGATCATCAAGTTAAAAATAAAAATTTAGAACTCTGTGGTAAGTTTGAAGTTGATAGGAAAATTTGGATTTTTTAGGTATTTGTTGTATGCCCATTTTCTTTTTGGAATATTTTGTTTTGCAAAATATATGTCTTGTAGAGAGAATTTCTTATTCTGAACTAATGATTATAATAATTTTTATGATTTCAAAAAAGTTGAATGAATAACAAAGGAACACTAATATTCTAATAGAGCATAAAATAGTCTTAATTTAGTTTAATTTTTACAGTTTTTTTAACTTTCAAACTACCTATCAAAGTGACTATCTTTGTACTACCAATTTTTTTTTTTTTAAGATTTTATTTATCTATTTGACAGAGAGAGACACAGCAAGAGAGGGAACACAAGCAGGGGGAGTGGGAGAAGGAGAAGCAGGCTTCCCGCAGAGCAGGGAACCTAATCTGATGCAGGGCTTGATTCCAGCGGGGCTTGATTCCAGCAGGGCTCGATCCCAGGACCCTGGGATCATGACCTGAGCCCAAGGCAGAAGCTTAAAGACTGAGCCACCCAGATGCCCCTACCAGTTCTTTTCTTAAAAGGATACTTGACCATCATATGTGTTAGACATTAAAAATCTTTACAGTTTAAAAGAGTAGAAAGACCTTCCTATTTATATATAAAATAACAACAACAAAAAAACTGTGATTTTTTTTAAACAGAAAGTAATTTTCTCATTAAAATTATTTTTGTTTTTCTTATTTCTGGTCACTAGGAATGATATCGCAGCTCGCAGAAAAATACAGTCTTCCTTTAAGGACAAGTTTTAGCTCTGCTCGAGGATTTTTCATCCAGATGACTACTGATTGTACAGCCTTACCCAATAATCAACTTCCTTCAGAATTTATTAAGGTTCATTTTAGAGTTCTGGTTCAGAAATTATTATTTCTGAATTACATTTTACATTTTTTCAGACATTCCTTGAATTTTACATGCCAAATTTCTGAATGTTCTGTATATTGCTTTCCTACTCCTGTCAACCTACCTAACAGTTATAATAATCTAAGAGTGAGGTAGAATTTTGGAGAAACGCCAAACAGTGCATCCCATTGTTCTGGAAGCTTGGTATGTGTAAAAAAAAAAAAGGAAATGAAAAAAAGTCCAAAAGGTATTTTTGATCCAAGGAATTTGGAAAATACTGTACCATCTCCTGTTTTAGGTAGTTCTCTATGTACATTTGCCTATTAAAGGTTTAAAAATCCTGAAATAAAGAAATCTGTTAACTTTTTAAAACCCAATATTGCCAAACCTTGGACCAGGGAAATATTTTTTCCTAAATACATATTAACATCTCCATGATATACCAGTTTGGGAAAGTCTAACCCAATCTAATTTTGCTTTCTCTGCTTTCAGTGGGTAGCTTTCAACAACAACAAAAAAACACATTTAACTTTTAGGGTTTTTAAATACACACTGTAATCCCAGGTGATGGGGGATGGAAAAAGAAAAGAATCGGTTGAGACACAGTAATGGGATTAGAAATTGAGTGAGGTTCAGATATGGGACAAGGGCTAAGATGGGTCAGAAATTACTGATATCTGTCATGCATATTACTGGGTAATAAGATGTACTGTCTGACATTTCTACAGAGCTATTTTAAGACCTGTTCAAAATAGTTGTGCCAGAATACTGTAGGTTAACTTTAAGTGCTTTAATTTTAGAAGTGATCTTTTCTTTTTTGCAGACATTATTTGAGACTTTATTTGTGATGCTTTATCTCCAAAATTAATTAACCTAAATATATATGCTGTTTAAAATCTTTATGTTTGATTTTATAGGAGTATACACCCATCTTGACATTTTGTTAATTTTGTTTAATTTCCTAACAGATATCTAAAGTGAAAAGTTCGTACACCTTTACATCAGCAGACTTAATTAAAATGAATGAAAGATGTCAAGAATCTTTGAGAGAAATCTATCACATGACTTATATGTAAGCACGTTTGAAATTTTGAATATTAAATTGGTTCAATTTGAAGCATTATAATAAATTTCATTAACTGGCTTTTTGTCTGATTGCAGAAAATTATAAAATTATGAATGTTAGCAAAGAAAGAACATTTCATGGAAGAACAATGAAAACTTTTAAAGTCTGTCATTGTGATTGGAATTGCTCAGCCTCACAGAAGATTCAGGGCAAATCTAATTACAAAAACAAAAACAGAAACAAAAACAAAAAACATCATTATACCTGATACTTCTGTAGTATGCATTCCACCATGATGTAGAATTTGGCACATCTTGGGCTTCTTTCAGTTTATTCTTTTCTTATGGTATGTAAGCCCTCAACTTCTCATGGCATATATTTATTGTAATGATATGCTCATATATCATTATGTGTGTATGTGATATGTGTATGTCATATCACATATATATATATGAGCATATCATTACAATAATGCAAGTCTTTTGCTGGTCATGAAACAGTAGCAGTACAGCTGGAAATAAGAAATAGATCATTCACGGGCGGGGTGAGGGGGGCCCGGCAAAAAAAAAAAAATCATTCATAATCGATGAGCTGAGATGATAAAGACAAATGTTGGACTTTCAAAACAATTTCAGGGCATAGACCACAGAGATTATGAGATATAATAGGTTTGGGGAACATATTTCTCCTCATAAGGGAAAAAACCAAGACCTTGAGCTAGGATCAAGAGTCAGGTGCTTAACCAGCTGAGCCACCCAGGCACCCCTTAAGATTTTATTTATTTATTTATTTTTTAAAGATTTTATTTATTTATTTGAGACAGAGAGAATGAGAGAGAGAGAGCACACGTGCAAGTGGGGAGGGGTAGAGGGAGAGAATCTTCAAGCAGATGACTACCCGCTGAGCATGGAGCTCACTGTGGGGCTCAGTCTCATGACCCATGAGATCGTGACCTAACCCAAAACCAAGAGTCGGTCACTCAAATGACTGAGCCACCCAGGTGCCCCTCTTTGCTTTATTTTGAATAACTTTTAATTTTTTTCCCATTGATTTCCAGACTGCCATAGAGAGTATCTAGTACATGGCTATTTCTTTAATTCATTTACCAAGTTATTTTACTAATCATTGTAAAAAGTGGTAAGGATATAGTAAGAAATAAGTCTCTAATCCAAAGGAATTTATAATCCAATGTGAGATTTGGGTAAAAAAAAATAAGCAATTACAGCATAGTATTGCAGAAACTCCAAGGGATTTTATATTCTACCCTACTTGCAAGCTAACAAATTAGCCTGCCAATTTCATACATACTAACAGAAGACACAAGACTCCTGGGTCAGAGAGACAGGACTTTAGTGTTTAGAACAAGCAGTAGCTAGAGTATTAGCATTTTCTTAGACTGATTCCCCAAACTCTACAGGGTGTTGTGAAGAGGACCAGGTGAAACCTGCACATGCAGTGTGTTGCAGGAGAGAATTGCAGAGCTTAGGGAACTTGAATCTTTTATATTGGACAATAAGTATGTTTGCCTGCTGTTCTGGAGGGAGATACCATCTTAATCTTCTAAGACTGTAAGCATACTCACACTTTGCTCTAGGAGACACCATATTTTTCAAGGCTATTCACTATACTAACATCTTTGAAAAGACTATCCAGAACAAAGGCATTCAGTGCCTCTGCCCAGAAGATGTGCAAAAATGCAAAAGGCCAGTAGAGAATTATCTCCCAAATTGCTTTGAAGAAGCAAGTGGCAAAGAGATTCTGTATTAGTTGTTTATTGCTGCATAACAAATTACCATGACCATAGCAGCTTAAAACTGCACATATTTATTATCTCACAGTTCCTGTGAGTCAGGGGTCTGTGAACATTCTAGCTTGATTCTCTGCTTTGGGTCTCCCAAAGTCCAGGTAAATGTTATCCAGGGCTGAATACTCATGTGGAGTACTCAACTAGGGAAGGATCTGCCTCCCCACTCATGGGGTTGGCAACGTTTAGTTTCTTGCAACTGTAGGATTTGTGGCAGTTTATTTCTTCAAAGCTGGCAAGGTATAGAGAGATTGGAGAGAGGGATACAGAGAAGGAATAAATAGGGAGGAAATCACCAGTGATAGAAGAGGGTAAGTGAGTACCTATATACTTGTAGCAAGACAGCTCCTCCAAAGCAGAATTTCTCAACCTAGACATGCTTGACATTCGGGCTGAATAATTCTTTTCCTGGCCTCTTTATTCTATCTTTTCCCACTTTGGGTGGCTTTCTTACTCAGTATTGTGGAGTAGATGCTGTTGCTGTGCCACCCGTATCCCTTGCCATTCACTTTTGTACAGGGAAGTCTTCTTACTGCAAGCAGCTGAAACTTTCTGCCTGAGGACTTTATCTAGCCACATGAGAAACTGGAGGGTAATCAGGAAGTGACTGCCCAGCAATAGGTCTTAACCAGGTTAATAAATACACCATTTTCCTTACCTCTGGAGACAGCTTCTGAAGCTTACTCTACACTATCTCTGAGAGGTCTCCAGCAGGAATGAGCCACGGTACCAAGCAGCGATACCCTGATCATCAGTGTATCCTGTACTGCTGCCCTTTCCTATTCTCTTGCCTTTTCAAATAAATTATTTGAATTACTTTTCAAATAAATTATTTGTCTCAAATTCTAATTTCTCAGAGTTGGCTTTTGGAGAACCTATCCTAGGTCAGTGGTGCCTTTTGATGAATAGAAGTTATTTTTTTTTATGATTTGGTATTTGTATGTATTGCAAAATGATCACCACAATAAGTCTAGTTAACATCCATCCTCATACACACTTAATTTTTTTTCCCTAGTGATAAAGACTTTTAAGATCTATTCTCAACAACTTTCAAATATGCAATACAGTATTATTAACTGTAGTCACCATGCTGTCCATTACATCCTCATGACTTACTTATTTTATAACTGGAGGTTTGACCTCCTTCTTCCATTTTACCCACCCCCTAACCCCTGCTTCTGGCAGCTCCCATTCTGTTCTCTGTATCTATGAGCTTGATTTTTTGTTTTTAGATTCTATATATAAGTGAGATCCTCATTGTCTTTCTCTGCCTTATTAGAAGTTCTTAATTTAAATGTAGCTTAGTTTATGTTTTTTCCTTTTTAGTGGTTGTTGTATCCTGCATAGGAAGTCTTTACCTACCCCAATGTCTTGATTGTACCCATGGGATTTTAATTTATGGAGATGACTAAGTGATGACATGGAGGGGCTAAGGCCACTAAAAGATTTGTATTACTTAAAATTTCTGAGAGGAGAAATCATGCCACATAGGGTCACATGGTCAGGAGCCAGAAGGAGTGAGGAGAAAACATCACAGAAGCCTTCGTTACTACTGTAGTGGGTAGTTATTAGGTGGGAATGTCCCCTACTGAGTAGGAAGTAAAACACAGATATTAAGAGTTTGTGGTTGCAGGGTTTGTAATATGATAATCTGTTCACCCACAAAAGCCAGACCATGGGAGAAATATAAACAACTTTGGCCATTAGTTTGGCCCTATGATTTATGTATGTCAGATCATTAATTATCAAATTTATAAAAGTTGGTTAGAACAGGGTAGTGAAGATACTTTTCTTTGTAATATTCCAGATGTTTTATTGTTTTACTTATTGTATTTAGACCTATAATCCATATGGAATTGATATTTGTATGTGGTGTGAGGAAGGGGCCACATTTCCTTTTTTTCATACAGATCCATAATCTTATTGGCACCATTTATAGAAAAAAACTGTCCTTTCCCCATTACTCTATAGTCAACCTTTGTCATAAATGAAATGTTTGGGTTAAATCATATGTTTGAGTCTGTTTCTAGACTCCTTATTCTGTTCCATTGGTTGCTCTGTCTGTCCTTGTGCTGATGCTACAGTTTCTTACTTACTCTAACTTTATTATAGGCTGATATTCATTAGAGTTAGTCCTTCTACCTTCTTCTTCTTCAAGGGTAAATTGATATTTTTGTAAGAAATTCTCCTTTGGTAATAGGGATGATAGTTGTCTTCTGTTTGGTGAATATTATTTATTTTTAATCTTCCAGTTTCAGAGATCCATTGTGAGAGCCTGCAGTAACTTGTTTTGGGGCCAACAACATTTATTTTAGTATTTCTCTAAATTGGCTCATGTAGTCACCAAACAGTCCAGGTATTGTGCAATAGGGATATAGGTCAGGCGACTTCCAAAAGAAAGAGCACTATATCAAGTACATTATATCATAATATAATATCCTAAAACTCTTTGTCAATATTGGTAAATTTGTCCATTCACAAAACATTCTTCATTTCTCAAGGGTTAATGCCACTGTTTGGTTCTAGAGATAGTATAATTTAATTTTAAAAAGTTTATTTATAAAATTTTGAATGTTGATGTTGCTTTATTTTGAAAAACTATAATTAATTTGGACAACTGGAATTATGAAAATTGTTTTACTCGCACAAACAGGAACCAATGAGGGAAATTTGTGTTGTTCTGTAACTATCTGCGAGGTTCGGATTCAGCTTTTCAAATATCATCTTTCACAAATACCCTTTGTGCCTCTTTCAGTAAATGTTAATCTGTTAGTACTGCTCAGGATTGAACTGTATCTCCTATCACTACTGTAGGTTAAGCTGGACCCGAGCGGCTGAAGTAGAAATGGAAGTTGGACACAATGAGGTGAACTCTTCTCATTGTCAGACTTTCAGGAAACTAGTGCACTAGGCTTATTATGACGGGTCAGTAGTTGTAACTATTGTCTATGCTGGGTAGGTTGATAAATAAAAGTGTATGGATATGGTAAGTGTAGAATTTCAAGAGAAAATCCGTTCTTGTATATTTATGGTGTCCACATTTGGGTCTTTATTTTAACAGGTTAATGCAGCTGAATCAAAGATAACAAATTTAATATACCTAAAGCATACCTTGGAACTTGTGGATCCTTTAAAGGTAATTTATATGGGTGTATATTGTACAAAACATGTCTAGCATCAATTTTTTAAAAACTTTTTGTTTCAAAAAAGTATCAAATTTAGATAAAGTTACAGGAATAGTATAATGAATTCCCAAATTCTCTGGATACACACAGCACACACTACGTGTTATATCCTTATTATTACTCTTACTAAACTATTTGAAAATTGCAATACCTAAATACTAATGTGTGTATATCCTAAGAACAAAGCTGTTCTCTTATATAACCACAATATAATTTAAAAATTGAGGATATTTAACATTGATCCAATACTATTATGTGTAGTCCATACTCAAAATTTTCTGATTGTTTTACTAGTATCTTTTATGGACTTTTTTTTTCTTGATACAGGGTCCAGTCCAGGATTATGCATTGTATTTAATGTCATTTTTTTTTAAAGATTTTATTTATTTGAGAGAGAGAGTGAGCGAGAGAGAGCATGAGCAGAGGGAGGGGCAGAGGGAGAGGGAGAAGCAGACTCCCTGCTGAGCCAGAAGCCCAATCCCAGGACCCTGGGATCATGATCTGAGCAGAAGGCAGATGCTTAACTGAGCCACCCTAGTGTCCCTAATGTCATGCTTCTTTATACCACTTTTCAACTTAAGGTTTCTCATCCTTTCTTTGTCTTTCATGATATTAACATTGTGAAGAGGGTCTGTTGTTTTATAGAATATTCCTCAGCTTGTGTGGTTATTTTCTCATGATTAAATTCCGCTTATTTAGCAGCAATACTCTATGAGCAATGTTGTATCTTTTTCAGTACATCACATCAGGAGGCACATTATGTCATTCCCCATTCTGGTGATATTAACTTTGATCAATTTCTTCACTGTAAAGTTATTAAGCAATCTGTGGAGAGATACTTTGAGACTATGTAAATATTCTGTTCCTCATTAAACTTTCACTCAGTGATTTAAATACTCATTGATGACTCTTACCTGAAATATCTCTGATGTGATTTTCTAATATATTTTTAAATACTTTACTGTGCAAAACTTTTTAAAAAACATTTATTTATTTAAGTAATCTCTACTCCCAACATGGGGCTCCAGCTCACAACCCTGAGATCAAGAGTCCCATGCTCTGCTGACTGAGCCAGCCAGGAACCCCTGTGCAAAACATTTTTTAAAACTTAAGGTGACAGCTTTTTCCGTGCTGATAGTGCTCTCATAAACAGGGTGAACGTTCCTAAAACCCGCGTTTTTCATTACTTTTTTTTTAAAGATTTTTATTTATTTATTTGACAGGGCAGGCGCCCCTACTTTTTCTTTTAAAAAAGGAGTTCCTTGTCACCTTAAGTTTGAAAGAGGTAAAGGATCTGTACTCTAAAAACTACAGAATACCTATGAAGGAAATTGAGGAAGACACAAAGAAATGGAAGAACATTCCATGCTCATGGATTGGAAGAA